ACCCAGGAATGAATTTCTCGAAAAAGAAATATGTAGAAATATTCAGAAGCATGTGCCTGATGTTTCCACTCTATTTCAAATTGAATTTAAAGGGTGGCAGATTTCATCATAAATCCGGCGGAGTCCTTTCATCAAAACAAATACATATCGACTGTTCAATGGCATTCGTACATCAAGTCAACCACTTATATTCAATTGTTTAACATTTAATTTTCTGTGCTGCTCTCGATCGTTAAAATAAAATTTCTTCGAGATTTTTTATATGGTATGTATTTCAATTTAAGAAGATGACAAGACTTTGATTCTTGATTGCCATGTAGGTTTTTGGTTTTGAGTATGGTAGAAAGCATTCACAGTAGCCAATACGAATTTATTATTACAACTTTTGTAAAGCTTCTCAGGTCAGGTCTTTCGAAAAAGATTTCAAGATTTTATCATCTACTTTAGTCGAAATATAGACCAAATAAAAAGACACTATTCATCCCAAATGTGATCAGAAAATTGAAAAAATAGTACACAATAGTATTGTTACTGGTTCTGATTAACAGTACAAGTTATAGGTCTAGTACTTTGTGCTTATGTAGTACTAAGTACGTGTAGTAGCCTCCCAAATTTTCAAAAAGTTTGCTTTTGTTAAACGCGAGAACGAATAATTTTCAAAGTGCTTCAGAACTTGTGAAACACCCTTTATTTCTAATATAAGAGCGCTTTCAATTCATTCTAACCATGTATTCCGGTACAATATAGCAATCGATGACAAGATGTCAGTGAATCTCGCGACATTGACATCATTAGTGCACCAAGAGTATTAGAGCATCAATAGTCAGTGATGTAAAAGCCCCGGTGTTCCACTATTGTCAGTGCTGGTAAACTATCGGTGTACATGGATGATCAGTATTAGTGCAACAGTTTCAGCCTTTTCGCTGACGCCGCACATCCCTAGTTTGGAATTGTTTTCCGAAACCCTTGTTGGTTCGTCATATGACAGACAGAACATCAAGCTGGTTTTCGTTCGAAGAAGAGCACAATATAGAATATAGTTAGACTCGAACGATATGCAAAGGGACAACTGCATTGAATAGAATGAAGACGACACTTAGGGGTTAACTTCTTCGCTATTAAAGCAGCTTTCGACTCTGTATGACATGACGGCCTAATTTACAATACCTCATCAACTATCTTATAACATTCCTCGACAATAGAACTGCTGCAATAGAATAAGAAAATGTTTTATTTCGTCTTTTCACCTTCAAAAGTGGTACGCCACAAGGGTCCCTACTATCACTGTTCCTGCTTAAGTATAAAGAGAAAAACAATAGATATGAAAATTCCACTCAATGAAATTGAAACAAAATTGCATGTGTGTTGCCTACTCAAACTTTGTAAGTTCATAGAATCCCATTTGCATTATAGGGACAGTATCAGATATTGTTTCGTTTCTAAGATGAATATTCCATTTATGTGTTTTTGCGATATCTTCAAAAGTCTCTTTGCAACCAGCTGTAGTTGAAAAACCAAGAAATAATCTTCCTCCATTTGGTTTTAAATAGTCATTTGCATTCTTTAAGTATACATTCAGTGATTCATAAAATGGATCGAATACTGCCCGTTCTAGCATTTCAAGCTCTTGCACTGATTTGTTGATATGACCGAACGGATAGTTCCAGAAGATGATATCATATCTATCATCAGAATGCAATGCATTAAAGACATCGCTGTATTTGATAGTAGTTTGATTTGCGACATTGTGTTTGTTTGCATTTTCTTTCACATTTTGAAGTGCATCTTTGTTGATATCAGTACATGTAACATGAGATGCACCATTTAAAATGGCTAATATAGTCGTATAGCCAGCACCCGTTCCAATTTCAAGAACTTTCGGTGCTTTGTTATGAAATGCTTTCACCACTTCAATGACTTCTTTTGCTAGAAATTCTGTCGCAAAGAATATATCTGGATTGAAGACATTTGGATAAATAACAAAGTCTTGACCACAAATTTTTGTTGAGAATTTTTCTCGAACATTTTTCGCCGATTCCAATTTCATTCTTGTTCGCTGCATATAAACTGGTTTTTCTATCATTTTATCTGTAATGGCGGGTGAATGATTTGACATACTCAAGTAATATTCTTCAAAGCTCGATATTTCTAAAAGAAAGACAACAAAACTTTCTGTTTATTCGATGCTTATAGTTTAACTATGTCTGAACATTTATAGAACAGCGAACTTATGTGACAACTATATAAGAGTGCATAACAGATATTTGTAAGTTTTTGGACAAATCGTACTAGCCAAAGGCTTATCTGTAGATCTGAAACACAACAACTATTTGAAAAAATTCCATGTTTTCGCGCTTTTCATCCACTCGATGTATGATTCGTAGGATGGTTTACATAAATACCAGTGAATTATTTCAGTCAATGAGTATTTCAGGAAGGAGTTTTGCTTCTCAAATGATTAGGAAAAATATATACATGCATGTCTTCTTTGCTAAAAAACTAAATAATCGTATTTCAACTATAAATGCCTATCAGCAAAGATTGTTTTAGGATTTTCTAATCACATCAAGTAATGTATACAGACAGAATATGAGTTCAAAAGCTCTCGATTCGTTCGTCAAAAATCGATGTCACTTGGTAAACAGATGAAGTCGTACTGAAAATTTGAATATTTTTATGCTAAATTTACCAGTGAGAACTCATACGTCTGAAGCATATTTATTCAATAGAAAGACAAGTTTAATTGATACTCACCTTTCGTTTATTTGCTGCATAGTAAGCAACACTGTATTTATTAACCAGCTACGTTTTGTTTGCCTCCTTTCTTTATTCAATCTTCACAAACTACAAAACTCGCGTGTAATAACAAATCGTCATTCTCTTTCTTTCCCCCCTTTATCTAATACGCAACATACTTTTATAATCATAGAAAACGAAAAAAAGAAAAAAAAATACTCAAGCAAACCTGCAAGCAAGAAATATATTTAGGACTATCTAAAAGTAGTGAACAAGGCTTTCCCCCGTTTTTCACTTTCTTTCATTGCGGTCTCTTCTTCTTATCGCGTCTGTCGACTCTTTCTCATATACATTTAACAAAGAATCTTCCTGTATCATTAATTATAATATCAAGCATTACCGTGCATTTTCTTTCTTCATCTCCTCTGCATTCTCTAACTCAAGATGACCACTGAAAGTTTTCGCTTTTATATAAAAATACGTCCCGCACTGAGTATTTCAGCAAGAGTCATTTACGACGAATTGAGCTCTGTTTACGGTGACGAAACTTCTGGTCTAAACACAGTCGAACGATGATGCGAACTGTTTCGTGAAGATCGAGAAGAAATTGAAGATAAAGCGCGACTTCCCAGACCAATTACTGAAACAACAGCCGAAAATATCGAACAAGGTCGCCTTCTTATTGACGACGATCCTCGCATTACAGTCGAAGATATTCAAGAACACACTGATTTAAGTTATGGGACAGTTCAGCGAGTCGAAAGATATCAAACAAAGTATGGGTGAAAAAAGGAGATTCTCCATCTACTGTCGTTCGCGCTAATCGTTTCGCATCGAGAACTTTATTTTCGATCTTTTTCAAATCTACCGGACCCATGCTAGACCATCGTGCTGAACGTCATCAACCAGTGTTTGCAATCTTTGATCGACGAGATCAAACGTCAGAGGCATTCTTATGCAACTCTCGAGATCAAAATTGATGATGACAATGGTAAACTACACATGCACAAAGATGTGGCTGATTTTCTTGAATTAAAAGGCCTTACGATTAAAGACCATCCAGCTTATTCTCCAGATTTGTCGCCGTGTGATTTCTGTTTATTTGACTTGATCAAAGATAATCGAAACGATCAAGATAATTCCGAAGAACTACATGATACTGTACTCGATCTTTTTGCACGCCCTTAACCAAGGTGAATACAAAAAGACTTTCGAGAAATAGGTCGAAAGAATGCAGCTATGCGTGGAAAACAACGGCGATTACTTCGAACATTTATTGAAATAACTACTTAGTTCATTCCTTTTCGGGTTTTTCTTCGTTATAATAGATTTTGTTGCCATATAAGACATATGAGAGGGACTCATCAGGTATGACAAGAAAAAGAAAAGAACGCAACGAAAGAAAGAAAAAGCACGTGAAAAACGGGGGAAAAGTGCATACAGGCAAAAGTATTGACCATTGTTATCAGCAAATAGTAAGAAAAGAATGACCGTCAGATGAGCCCGGACTAATTGAGCCCCCGACACTTGAGCTTAGAAAAGAGGATGAGCATAAAAATTCAACGTGTTAATATTTTTCGTTCAAAGAAATTAAAAATTAAATAGAGCCCTGGCTCGTTTAAAATACTCGTTCCGAGGATATAAATGGAAATTAGTCACTAGTTGCTGTAGTTGTTCGTCGAGTTTCTCGTACGTAGCACGCTTCCGCACTTTTGAAGTTCCAGTTTCTGCTTGTTCAACAAAGATTAGCTGCGCGTGCTGTTCGGTCTTCAAATCTTGAATCGATTCACAAATAGACGGATGCTTGCGACAAGAGTTCTAGGGTAAAGAAAAGAGAATGTAATAATGAATTTGACGTCTTGTAATGATATTACTTGAACAGCGTTATGCCAACCCTCTTGTGGATTGTTAGTACGAAAAAGTTGCTGATCGAGACGGTCGAAGCAATTCCAGAACGAAATCGAAAATCGAGGTGAACGCCGGTGATTGTAACGAGCTCGACGACCGATGTAGTTTTTCTCGAAATAGTCGACGAATTCTATGTGAACAGTGAAGTTAAACGACTGTTAATGAGGTTTGTTTTGTACTGACCATTAATTGATCCTAACGACTCTTCCTCGAGCCTTTCAAATTCTTCTATAACATGATCCGTCGGTATAAATGCCAGCACAGCAAAGTTCTTCATCTGAATTCGAACCTGCGACTCATCCAGAAATAAAGATACCAATCCTAAATCCTAAAACGAATAAGGTTTTTGAAGGCTAAATACGCCGATTCGTTATATGGTTTCGAAGAGACTCACCCTAATCTTTCGCCACAAGTTTTGCTTGAAATGAAAGAAACATGCGGTCACGGCAGTTGATGAGAACTTTTGCTTGATGACGTTGCTGACGGCTGGTTCGAAGTCGACAGTTATCGAGGCGGGATGTTTACTAATATGTTGCTGGACAACGTCGAAAAATTCACTATAGACATCATTGGACTTTCCGGGCAGAAAAGCGTACAGTAAAGGAAACGTTCGACCGTGAATATGTCCATGTATTGAGTAAAGCTGATAGAATAGTTTAGGTGCCACCTACAGAAAAGTATTTAATTAGCTCGATGATACATTCTCAGCGGAATAATTCATCATATTCAACTAACCTTAAAGGCTCCATCGGCGTGCCAATGATCGGAGGCTGATAATCGAGTCATATTTTCCCGTGAAGATAAGACAATAAGTCGGTTGTTGTACTTTTCGTTGTTGTACAGCAGGAAGATATCGCCAGCATTGGTTAACTTCAACTCTTCTGGAATTTCGATTTCTGCGAATGTTGTTGGTGTTGATAGTGGAATAGCATTCTTTTTTCGTTTTCTTTCAACCAAGCGTTGAGCGTTCTTGTAGTTCGGAACAGCTGACGCATCATTGAGATCAACTTCGAGCAAAGCTCGATGGATGATTCTTCTAGGCGCATCGTTAGAGGAAATCGCATGTACGTTGATCTTTGATTTGAATTCAACAGATGTTATTTCATCTGGATTGGGAGCACGGTTATGCTCAGTCAACGTGACATATTCGGTTCCATTACTAGTCACAGTCCGGCACAGTTATGTCAAGTACATGTCCACGTCATCTGACTATGATTTGCTCACCGATAACGGTAGCCATTTAAGAGCAATTGCTCTCTACCTTTTGACGATTGAACAGGGGACATCCTTATAAGCGTTACGTGCAACAAATGATTGTTTTTTAGGTTTCTTTCTTCTAATATATACGTAGCATTCGCTTAGAGAATAGCGAATCCTGTATTCTACTTTGTTATCCACTCATATAGTTAGCACCATATTCATCGAGCGGCATATCAATACGTCGCGCACTCTGTCGAAAGTCAACAAACTACAGTCGTAGTAAACATCCTCTATATAAACTGCCATCATTCCTTTCTTTTTATCGTTAGAAAGGGCTCAAGTGTCGGAGGCTCAAATATGCGGAGCTCAATTGTCGGTGGGCTCAACTGTCGAGACTCAATTAGTCCGAGCTCATCTGACGATCCACCGTAACGACCTTGTTACGTTTAAAGATCTTAGTTCATGTGATGAAGATATGGAAAATGTAGTAACTTCACTGTTCTGAAATTTCCTATTTCGTGAACAGAAGTTCTGTTTTGCTGCATTCAACATTTCTTCTACTTGCTTAGATCTTTTTAGTCGTCGTGCAACAATAAAGAATCATCTTGGATAATCATTTGACCATTAATGTCCTGTTCTATCTATTGACAAGCTGATTCAGAGTCTTGATATGTAGCTATTAATTAGCTGAAGTGAAATTTCAAATAGTTTAATTGGTAAAATAGCCGACCGGTTATCGGAAAATGTGGGTTCGAGTCCTACTTTGATTTCATGATCTACTTTAACCAATTGTTCGTATTTGTTAAAACATATCTCTGTGGTTTCCTTTGAGTAGCTTGACATCTATACAATCGTGGACAAATGGAAAGATTTCTAATTATCGATTCTTTTATACCTATTTTCAAACTCACCCACCCTCACCTTTCCTATTGATTTACATTTGTATTTAGATTGTCTCGGCAAAAATCATTTGGCAAGCAACTATGGCCAAAAAACAAGCTGAAGAATATTTGGCCGTATTGAAAAAACGTCTTTATATAAAGCGATTGCCAACTTCATACAATATTCTCGATCATTCGATTGATAATATCGAAAGAATGGTTCAAAAGATGATTGCTCAATTTAAATATGATTTAATATTGTTAGAAATTAGCACAAATGAACACATAGCTCGAAGTCATACAAATATGATTGCTTATGAAAAGAAAAAGTTAACTGATTCTGCCGGTGATCAAAATCCATTACCAAAATCATTGGTTTCTATTTTGAATGCTATTTCCACACGTCAATCAAATATTATTAAACGTGCTGAACTAATTACTAAACATAAGGTGTCTTTTTTTGACGAAGCTCCGGTGGTTATGAAAGAAATCCATGTGGCTGGTCCAACCATCGGAGCAACTCTTTAAAGAAACCTAGTCATATTCGTTTATCGACACCAATCATTGAAGTAACCCCATTTTCTTCATTTAATTGTATTGAATTTCTGGCTAATGGTCCACCTTTTATTCCCATTTGTCAAAGCCATTTCTCGAATGTACCAATTGATATTCGAATTGTAAAAGAGCGTGAAACACTTGTTAATTCATTTAAAAATGGCCTTCATGTTAACTGTGTCTCAGCTTCTGATCAACGAGCCAATGAATTTTTTGCTGCCATCAAAGATCTATTTTATCAATCGTATACAAAACCATTATCTCCTGAATTGTTCGCTCGTGCTCGATATGAACAAAAAATGATAGAAACCATTAAGCATATTCGAAATAAACATAACATTATTATACAAAGATCAGATAAGAGCAAAGTATTTCATTTAGCTAGTGCTATTAGTTATCATGATAAATCAGTTGCATATATGGCAAANTCCGACTTTGGACTAGTCCAATGTGGAATTCCACTTTCGCCTAGGCGGATCTTAGATTGGCCTGAATCTCACATTGGACGCCAACATATTCAAACAGCTAATACTTTAGCACCTTGGTTTCCAGTAAGAACTTATTGATCTTTCGCTTTTTGTCGATAGATTAATTCAGATCTGGTGTAGAGATGTTGCCAACTGAGGAGTTGTTCTCACACCCTCGGATATCCCTTGAATATTATACATAAAGAGTTCTGTTGTGCTGCTTCAGATGATTCTTATTAGGTTCTTCATATTAGGATGAAGTCCTCGTGCAGCAGTACGGGTTCATTTAAACAATCGACATTTTTATTGTCCTACTATCTTAGATATTTACACAGATGTTCGATATGCAACTAATATCTTAGTTGGAGAGAAAATCAAATAGTTTAACGGTAAAATAGCCGACCGGTTATCGGAAGATGTAGGTTCGATTCCTGCTTTGATTTCATGATCTTTCTTGACAAGTTGTTCGTACTTGCTTCGACATATCACTGTGGTTGCATTTGTTCTAAATACTTTGATATCTGTGGACAGAAGATATGGTTGTTTAACTTTGAACTCGTTTAAATATTACTTTTAAACTCACCCCCTCAAGATTTGAATTAATGTTATACAAATGAATATTTGATAGTTACAGATTTCACTCGACTTGTTCTATATCACTAACTATTGTTTGTGTGGAGTGTGAGCATTAATAACATGGATAAAATTTACCAACATTCACACTTACACATCGTTATCCCACTGATTTAACTTTTGTATTGATGAAAATATTTATGTTATACGGAGTTTAAATTTTTGATTAATTTTATATTTTAATCCAATCAATAGTTAATGAGAAACATTTATTTCATATTCAAATAGAAGAATTAACAATTAAATCTCTACATTCAATATAAATATCAAGACAAATCTTAATCTTGAGAATGTGGATGTGGAAAATAGTTTTTTTAATTCAATTTCTCTAGATTAAATAAATTTAATGAGATCGATATTTTATTTTATGAAATTCATTTGAAAATAAACTCATAAGAAATAATTATCATTAATATTCAAATTAATTGATCATTTTTACATCTCACTGGATAAAATGTAATTTATGATAATTAGTTTTGTTTCTCTTTTTTTTTATTAAAAGAAACTACATTATTTTCATCAATTTATTTCTAAACGGATGTTGCCAAATGTTGACGATTTTTCTCTTTGTTTTAATAAAATAGTGAACTAAAAGAAAAAAGGAAAGTTTATAGACTTGTTGATCAATCAAGAAAAGTCAAATCAATAAGATTGAATTTATATTTAATAGTTTTATGTGTAAAAAATGAAAATTTTAATCTATATATATATATATAAAGAAGAATGTTTGTCTATTTCTCTGTTCGTTATGCATTCAGATTGAAGGTGAAGATGGAATTTCGCTCATGTAGTTACATGATAGTCTCTCAAATATGATGGAAGATTGAGAGGGAGCTAAACCTTTGAACACTACTGACGTACATGTGCGTCCTAGTGGTGTTTTTGTCAACTAATATCATATGTACTTCTCCATCTTCTATATTCTTCCATGACGTCTTATCTTCTTCCATTACGTCTTATGAATCATTTTGTTCTGTTTTAATTAATCTCATTCAAAAATCTATATAATCTATGTATCGATGAATGTTTTAAAATCTATCATACTTTAAACTGTTTTTAAATAGAAATCAACTCTTTCCATATGTTTTAGAAAATAAAAATACAAAAAAAACTTAATTTCTTTTAAAATTAAACCGCTTCGCGAAACGTTAGTGATACTGATAGAGAATACCTAAGTGAAATTTCACTTGTGCGAGACGAAAAATACCTGAAATTTAACCATCTGACAGCGAGAATTCTAAGAAAGCGGATGGATTGAAAATGATACGTAGTAAAAGTTGTTCTATCTTAAATATAGATAATGAGATATTTTATGATTGTAGAACAAAAATTTCGAGCATAACCTTTTTTAAATGTTGTGTAGTTTTTTGGCATATGAAGTTTTTAGTTTAGAAAGTTATGAATCTTAAGTGGATACTTTCACTACAATAGATAATACATTTTTATATAACAGTTAATTCTTTCTCATCAATTGTTGACAATACATTCGATATTATTTATAAGAAAAATAATAATTTGAAATACATGAACAGATGAAATTTACATTTAAAAAAAAGGACATTTTTGTTTTATTAAGGAACAGGTTAGAATATTCTAATGGAATATGATTTTTCACCTACGTAAAAAACCTTTGTAAATCATGATAAAAGTAGCAAAAGTTGAACAGGAACATTCTATTTGAAAAGCTAATATATAAGTTAATACTTTTTTTTTCAGAAACTTCTTTTTCTTTTATTCACAGTGAAGTTAAATTGTTCTGTTATTTTTCTATTTTTGAAAGTGATTCTTTACACATTCAATATATATATATTCTTTTTGATTGAAGATTCCATCTCTCCCCTCGTCAACAATTTTGAAATTAAAATAAATCCATGAGAAGATAATCTATCTTTTGGATTTTTCATAAACGATAATGTTTTCTTTTTATCAATGATAGATATCTATCAGTATTTTTTACTTTCTATCGAACATTTTTCAGTTTAGAATTGTTGAATATATTTAAATTCTTTTTTCGTTTGTTAAAATAAGCATATCAAATTATAGAACATCACAGAGTGCTTTTTCAATTAAAATTTCTTTTTACTATATTTTCGCACATTAATATAACTTTTCATTCATTCTTACCCCCATTTTTCGATTGACTGATCTTATAATTTCTCCTTTGTACTAAAACAAAAGAATTTTAAGATGACGATTCTGTATTGTCTTAAATTTTTACATGTTCTTTCTAGTAAACCGGAAATTTAGCCAGAGCCTTCTCATACTATAGCTTTACAACTCGTTCAAAATTTCAGTTCATTAGAATTATTTTAAGAGTAAAATCGGTTGCTTTTTAAGATGAAAGAGACTTAACTGTTTTAGTCAATCTACTATTTCTTTTAAATACTTTTAGAGTAAACGCTTTTAATTGCTTATTCAAATTTCAATAACAAATATAATCTTTTCAAAATATTTATTTATTTATTTATTTATTTATTTAATTATGCAAATCAAAATTTTCATTATGTGGTTTTATCAAAAAGTAGTTGATTACAATCTTTTTATGTTAAGAGAAAATGATTATGAAGATGACGATGATGATGGTGGCGATAATGTTCAAAATTCAACAATTGTTATTAAACATCAAAAATATAAAACTTGGTTATATGTTATTCTTCTTACACGTAATTATTATTTTATTTTTCTCCTTCGCTTTACTTTATAAATACACTAGCGGGAAGAAGTATTAGCACTTTAAAAATATTTTTTTCGTAAACGTCGCTTGCCGAAAAGTAATAAGAGATACAGACAGGAATACACTTGAAATTGAAGTACTACCAATTTCACTTTCTCAGAATTATTCCTTCTGTAGTCTTTATTAAAATATGTTCATGTCACTGAAATTTATCCTCAGCATCGCATTCTCGCCTATCCTCATCCAAAAACTGTTTTTGTTGGAGTTTCTGAGAGAAAATGGTGAAAAGAGCACAAAAACAAGTTTGTGACCAAGTATACAGCAGAAGTTTAAAATATTTAATTGAAATTTTTTTGAATATTAGTAGAAAGACAAATAGATTTTTGAATTTTGGAGAAGGTTGAACAATCCTACTTCTTCCTAGTCGAAGGCTTCGTACATCGTCAATGCGCTCTATCGAGAATAGAACTGTACTTAACATCTGTTCTATCATAAGCATATGAACAGATGACAGTCCTGCAGCGACTAAACATATAGCAAATAGTCAGACATATAAATATTCTTCTTTATTATATTAGAACAATATCCTTTTTGTTTAGTTTGCCTTTATATTTTGTTTTATGTGAATTTAATCAAAACTGAACCAAAAATAATTGTTATACCGGATATAACATTTGATTTATATAAAAAACTTTATGATAAACATAATGAAAAACTTTTATGCCCATGTTCAAAAACAATAATATCTTATGAAAATATAACATTAAATGATGTAATAATACATGAGATTTGTTCAAGTATTTTTGTTGATCCAATATGGATAAATGGATTATATTTTCATAATGCAAGTCAATATGGAGTTTGGGATTTTCGAACAACAGCATATTCACAAGTAAGTCATTGTTATTATCAATCGGGTAGTTACATTTTGATTCTTAAATTAATTTTTGTTTTTCGATGTTTAGTTTGAATTTTTATCAAGTTTTTGTTCACTTTCAAATGAAATTATTTCTAAAATTTTGAATGATAGTGATCAAAATGAACTTGTTTCTCTTCATCTTCTTTCTGAACAAGAAGTTCAAAAACAAATTGATGGAAGAATTAAAAATCTAAAGAACAATGCAGCTTTTCAAATAATGACATTTTTGAATTATGCAAGAAATATAAGTGATAGACATTATTTTGTTTCAGCTCTCAATACAAACTTGATAATCTTAACGCGCTGTCTGAGAGAGAATTACTTAATTTTTCAAGGATACATAATAGGAATTCTAAAAGGTGATAATGGAGCAGGCCTGAAATGTAGTGATACCACACTAATGATTGATGCTACTCTGAGTTCACTACCATATGACAAACTTGATGAAGATAACTACAGAAGAGCTGACATGTCTCCAATGCCTAATTCCAGCAGCGTCACTGGATTCTTTGTAGCATGTACTCCGATCGAAGCAATTCTCAAAAGTACATTATATTGTCTTTACAAAGTAGAATGTCTTCAATTATTACTCGACTATTTTCCGAATCTAGAAAAAGTTTGTATCAAATCATTTTGTAATGCATTCAAATCTTCTTAATATAATCCTATTCTGTTTAGGGTAATTTCAATCTAAGTGCTTCTGTGTTGTCTTCGGAACATGAAGATATTACAGTTGAAAAATATTTCAATAATCTTTTTATCAAAAATTGGTCAACACAAATTAATTATACAAAATATTTCGATTTATGTTCTCCGTTATCATGTTCACATGAAACAACAGAACGAGCAGAAATAGTTTATGCTGTGACACTTTTTATTAGTCTTTATGGTGGTCTTGTCATTATACTTCGTCTTATTTCATCATTTTCTATTGATCTCATTTTCAAATGGAAATTGTGTGCGAAAATGAGAAATGAGAATTCATCAAGTAATAATGTTTTATTTGAAATAATGTAGTTTGTTATGAATATCAATATTTATTTGATTTTTAGTTGAACAAAGAAGCATTAAGTTGAAATTTCTTCAAACCGTGAAAAGATTAAACTTATTCAAGGATATCAATGATCGAACAGAACAAAGTATCAAACATCAGAAAATGGTTACTTGTGTCTATTTGATTTTATTGATTGGTAAATTTTTTAGATCAATATTTGTAAAAAAATAGTAGAAATTACAACTAAAAGAAAATTCTATTCATTAGTTTTCATAGAAACGTCTTTTCATAAATAGAGATATAATACATGACTGAGTTTAATCGAAAATCTTATATGATTCTATTTCATGTATTTATTTCATTGTTTATTTGTAATATTAGGTTCAATCTGTATTGTTTGTATATTTACATCATTGAATAGTGAAATTATAACAATACCCACACCAAATGCATCAATAATAACTTATTTAGAAATCTCACGTTCGAAAACACTTCATTGTCCATGTTCAAACAAAACAATACTTTATGGAGAGTTTCTTACATTATCGCCGCGTTTTCATCAAATATGTTCGAGTGGTTTCGTTCATAACAGTTGGATTTCTCTATTACGAAAGTTTTACACGTCAAATTATGATGAGGACTGGCTAAGTCATAGTTCCAGACATTTTCAGTTTTTGTCAGACTTTTGTTCTTTAGCTCAAGAGACGGTCGAGAAATCGATTAGTCGATATCGTTCTCAATTATTTATTGTTTCTTCTGTAATGAATCAAACTGACCTTGAAAAACAAATCAATGCTAGTCTCGAACAATTTTATCAATCAACAATCTTTGATATTCGTTTGATGATAAATATTCTGCAACTATTTTTGCAAATTAATCAGCTATATGCAGATTCAAGCAAGGATCTTACAATAAACTGGATTGATGATGTTAAATTAACAATTGATAAAATGGCATGTAATAAAGACTTGAATCAACCAATCAAAGTATGTTATTGTTTTAAATCAATACAATAGTAGATTTAAATAAATAAACTATTGGAGATATTAGCATAAGTAGTTATTTTCAAGAAATAAAAAGAGATTATTTTTTTATTTTTTGAAAGTTGATACGATAATGTCGATGTTAACAATTATATTATATTAAATTAAAGATGTTTACTTCGACGTTGACAAGACTGATGTGAAAAAAATAATACTAAATAATAATAACAGAAGATAGTTTTTAATTTTTATATTTTTTTATTCTTATACATATTCACTCATACTTTTATACAATATAGAATTCTGTGAGAGTAGTTCAATGGCTTATTTTAGATATTGATAATAAGGAAAAGAGAGTTTCGTGTTATCTTTATAAATATAGTGCATAATATGGAGTGATCAGGAGTGGTGAACCGAGAGTACAGTAACAATTGACTACAAGATATGTAATTTGATATATATTCATTTACATTAATTCAGTAATTTTCTTTATGATAATTGGAAATTCATGTATATATATATATATATATATATATATATTAAATTCTTTCCATTAGATTAGTATCGATGTATAAAATTTTGCTTTTACAATTTTATTTATAGACTTATTTTCGATTAAATGAAATGAATTTAACAATGGACAAATGTATTTGTGCCATAAATTCATCTTGTCAAAAACCAGCCATTATAAATGAAAGATATTCCATCAATGGAATGCTTTCTAATAAGAATCCATTTAATCAAGTACCAGGTGAAATTCAAAGATGTTTTGTTATTGATTCTCTTCTTTCTTCATCACTTCAAATCTTATATGAAGATGAAGATTATTTTCCATTTCTATTAGCTTCTATTAGAGATAAAATTTCCACAATTTCTGATCCATCTTTAGTATATGATTTTGGTCCATTGATTTATGATCCAACGAATCAATTCTCTCAAAATAAAAGTGTTTCATCAATCATATTTGAAAACTTAATGATTGAACAATGGAATTCAAATTTATCTTATGAATTATTTTATGAATCATGTTCACCTTCTTATTGTAATTATTTTCAAAGAATGCGAACAAAAAATTTTCTCGGAGTAATCATAACATTAATATCAATGATTGGTGGTATTATTATTTCATTAAGAATTGTAACACCTGATCTTGTAAAAATTATTGTTGCATTAATGAGATTACTTGAGAAAAAAAGACAACAACAACAGCAGCAACAAAGAGAACTAGGTAAATTTCACTAAATTTTTATTGAGAAATTTGATAATTGATTATTATTAAGCGTTTTATTGAAAGTCGAACAATTGTATGTTTCAAAGTTTTCTTTTGTTTTTTTTGTGTACTCAAAAAGTGAGTACACTACTAAAATCGGTCAGTGTGTCTGTCCGGCCGTCCGTTTATCCGATAACTCTCGAAATCTTTGAGCCATTGACGAAAATATTTCTTCCACTGATTCATCTCATCAATACCTCGGTCGAATTCGAAGATGAGAAGAATCGGTCAAGAAATGGCTGAGATATCGTAAAAACTCCAAAAATTGACCCCGTGAGACCTGAGGGGGAGTTCAGAGATTTTCAAAAATGAACTTTTTTTCTGGCACAAGATGCTTAAGTCTTATATAATAAATAACGCTCGTCGAGCGATGAATCACACGTAAGATAGAACTTGCCCTTAGAAATAACATCTCGACAATGGTTCTCATCATTTTGATCCTTTCTCAAAACTAAACAAAGGACTATCGTCGTTCTTGGTATTCATGTAATGTCGATTATTCATGATCATTGTTCACATGAACCAGCAGTCTGTTATGAATAGCTAGTATGATCTTTGTATATTTTAGTAATGCGAAAATCGACATTTCAATTCAACTATTTACCTATTTGTTCAGTTTTTCAATTATGTGAAAATTCGATTACGTCCAACATTCTTCTGTTCATCCTCACTGAAATTATGTCTCCTTTGGACCCTTTTTCTCACTCACAAGTATACGAATACTCGAATAATTCAACGAAGAGTTAGACAGTTGAGTTTAAGTTTCAGATTATAGACATCTGACATTGTGACAATCTACGACAATATACTTTCCCTCTTCTTCCTCAACAACAATTATCTGCTTTCTTCCTTCCTGTATAAACTCAGATTTTAGTCTCTTAGTTTATATATCGAACATAGAGGTACTGACAGATTTGTCTCTCATTATGGTGTAACATTCATATGATACTGATATCAGAAACGCACTCTTATATATATAACATGATCGTGCTCTCTCTCTCTCTTTCTCTCTCAAGAAGAGACTATGATCGCATGATCCTCTGGCTGACTACCTCACCGAATGACAGCAATAGATCTTAGAAATTATTTATAAAGCTGGATATTTTTCTGTAGCATAATATTGTATGTACGGAGGACAATAAAAGGACGAGAAACATACAGTGAAGATGCGATTTCTTTTGATTGAATATAGGACACACTTATCATATATTATCTCTTGTATCAGAGATCAGATCATCACAAGCATCTTCAAACTAGAATCCAGCATCGCGATCGACAAACGTTTCCGGTCCTAAACGCAAACTACTGCCCTGTTTTGTTAATTCGAATGTAACATAATCTGTTAAATATGCGTTTTGTAGAGAATCGTTTTCTCTACCGAATTGTTTAGTTTAAACGATACTAGAACACTTTCTCTTGGACTAATTCATCAAAGTGATTGGGCGGATTTCGCTCCTGTACAGCTTGCTCAAAACTAATTCTTCGGCTTCTTTATTAAATTAGGCTAAAAGAAGGTGGTATGGTATAGTTTAAAGTATACAGTTTGGAAGGGAAAACAATTCTGTACAGAATACACATTGAACAGATTATCTTACATTCAAAACAACAAACTAGTGCAGAAATGTTCGGTCACGCTGCCGCACTATATTTCATATCCGTTCTTATTTTCCTAACCAAATCAAGAATTCAGTGAAAACAAGATGAGTAGTCATAGAGATCTCGAATCCAAAGGTGTGAAAATGTTCCTGAGTGACAACTAGAGAGCGTCACCGGGAGCAGCTCGTCGTTCGTCGGCGCCCCGATGGGGCGCCACTCACGACTCGCCGCTCCACACCCTCCCAACTTTGAGTCCTATTGCTCAATTTCATAGTTTTCACCGAAATCAGCATCAATCACTTGAAAATAACATTCGGTCACAAAGTGCCTGCTTGGTCTAGGGCGACCACTTTTTTTTATCTATATTCTTACAGTTGAGAATGAATTGCAGTTACTCTTAACAGTCAGCTGGTCGGTCGCGACTTCCACTCATCCGAAAAATGATTTGAACAATATTCTTGCCTATTCATTGTTTGTATTTTGATCCCCACAGAAGCTCACGAAAATAGACTGATATTCTTCTTCAAATTATCTGTAAGGTCAAAAAGAAGAGCCATGAAATATCATCGTTGGCAAAAGATTGCGAAGGAGAACTGCTTTTGTACCACAAATTATCCGTATTGTTCCCCAAACAACACTCAACTTGAAAGTGTTATCAACTTTCTTGTTCGTTCGATGTTCCTGGATTAAAACTACTATTCAAATAGTGAGGTAGTTTGCTGTGAACCTCCGTCGTAGGACTAGTGTCTTTTTCCAGTGCCGATCTCGAATTTACATTTCGTTATTCTTCTAAATGAGTGTTCAGCCCTATAAGTAACCGGTTATTACCATCACACTCTTTTCACTCTCTCGCATTCTCGAAAATAGAATGCTCAAATAATTGTATAGTTCAACCAATGGACGGACAGTTATGCAATTACACACAACTTCCAGTCTATGCATATATCGTACGTCTGAGTATGCTCTTCTTTTTTCCTAGCAAAACGAGTGATACAGCGAAATGACATGAGTTTCCCTCTAGTTTTCTAATCCGCAGATGGCACAATCGTTTCATCTCCTTGTCACAGCACGTCATCGGGAGCAGCTCGTCGTTTGTCGGCGCCCCTACGGGTCGCCACTCACGACTCGCCGCTCCGCACGCTTCCCATTTCTCAGTCTGACCATCCCACTTATTAAAACAATGCCTCATTCAACAGTTTCCAACAAAATTATCAATCACTACAGACGTTGTCCTATCAAAATCTGGTTGATTTAGTCTACGATCATTACCTTTCTTCTCTGTATTATTATACTAGACTGTGAGACACATCCTCTTCCTAGTGTCCAATTTGTGATTCGGCACGCTAGCAAAAACTAATACTAACAACAATTTATACAACATTCTTCGCTGTCTCTATTCTATAGTCAAATCAACAGAAGCAAACAAATTAGAATGGTATTTTGAACTTGTGTTTCGAAGGAAATTCCCCTAGTATCATAAATACAAGTTAAATTACATTCTGAAAACGCATCTTTCAGTTTCGATGTATCATAAATTGCCTTGCACATTTGGAGTTATGAAAAAGTTTCTTTTATCTAATCTTTGTTCCGCTCATAATGAAATTCTCTTTTGGATCGTTGACCTCAGAGCTCAACGTACTTTCAACATCGACCTTTCCTCACCTGTCCTCCCTCCCAATCAACCAACTTTCAGCCTCAAAATTCCTTGAAAAGCGTGTTTTATGAAGTTTTGAGAAATTTCAAGAAAATGTTTTTCTACCTTTGACCCTTGACCCCGAGGGGGGGGGGCGATGACCCCCTCACCCCTCACCCCAACTATCACCCTCAACAAACCTTCGAAACCATGTTTTATGCAGTTTTGAGCATTTTCAAAAAAATTGACCTTTGACTTGCGACAGACACACACACATACAAACGAATTTCAGTTTTTTGACCACTTTTTTTCGACATCACCAGGGTTACCAAACCGAAGTTTTGGAAATCAGTAGTTTGAGAAGAGAAATCAGGAGTTTCTCAGGAGAATTTTTGTTTTAAATGAGAAGAAAAATCAGGAGATTTTCTTTGGTAGTTAATCAGTTATTTTATGTCTTTCACGATATAAAATTCAATTTTTTGGCTTATCATATAGGTACAACTAGGTTTCCGCTGTTCATACCGAAATATTGGTGAAAACATTTGGCTATAAATAAAGTAGAACGAAAAAGGATGATATTTTCATAATACTTGCTGTAATTCTTTTGCCTGTAAGGAGGATCATATGAAAAAATAAATTTATCTGTCTAACCGCCTGTTCCTCAGTTTGTTTGTTCACTCTAAAAACATCACAGTTTTACGGAACCTATATCAAGGAGAAAATCTTTGGGGTCTTGTATCGATTTGTTGAACCAAAAACGATATGGCAAATATTCTGTCAAACCTCGTCTGGTTCCGTAAATTGATACGAAACCTCAAAAGACCTTCCCCTCAATACAGGTCCTGTAAAGTTCCTATTTTTGTAGTGTTCGCACGGATTCGAAAGTCAAACCTATTTCATGGCACATTTTGAGTGTGCTCATGAATTATCATGTGGCGCATTTTCTGGTTATCCATGAGCCCATAAGTTGCGTCTTGTTTCGAAAGTGATGATTTCCACATGAACAAGAGATTTTAATTGCTTCTTGCTATGGAGATACTGAGCGATTTTGTCGGATCATTGGCACAGAGAAAAATTACTTCTGTCTTATATAGTTGAGGGTTAAATGAACCGCAATGACGAACATTACTTGTGTATTATTTTATTATCTTGACTTAGATTAGGATGTGTAAGATTATTTGTTTTAATT